TTTGAAAATATTGGTATGGATTTGGAGAAGCAAAATGATGGACAAATGTCTCTAATAGTATTATGTTACGCAGCAGATAAAAAAAGTGAAAGGTGGTGGAGAATAATTCATAACCAAAATCAAGGGTATAGGTGAAGCTTGTGTTGACCGTCAACGAAATATAGTGAGTGGATACTCAATTTAAGATTTTGCAGCATGGCCAAGATGAAGTTGAGGAAAGAAGTTCATCAATTGAAGAAGGAAATACAAGTGAAGAACTTGTGGTTTATAAAAATTATCTTGATAGGGAAATTTGTTGGAGCTGTCAATGTAATTAATTCAATGAAGAAGAGCACGTTAGAGGTATACTAAGTACTTATTGTTTGTTTTTTTTTCTGTTTTTCTTTTTTTTTTCTGGTTGTTTTACATCTAGGTATCATTTATTTAACTTTTTTCTTTGTAGCATCACCACCAATGGAGATCTGAAAAAAAGATGTAAAGGTTGAAGTGAACGGAAAGCAGGATGCAAGTCAATGAAATCAAACAAGGTATAGTATAAATATTACTTTTTTAATGCATCAATTCTTTAAATCCAATTTATGTTATTTGGATGCATTGTTAATAATTGATTGCCTCTTGAGGGGCCTCAGGTGCATATGACATAACTAATCCAGTATAACATACAGAAGAACAAGGTAAGACACACTACCCTACCTGTAAATTATACTGGATGACATGAACCGGAAGGAATTAAAACTCACCAGTTTAACATACAGGGAAAGGTAATACACACCAGACTACCTGTAAATTATACTGTATGACATGAATCAGAAGGAATGAAAACTTCACCCAGTATAACATACAGGATGACAAGGTAACACACACTAGATTACCTGTAAATTATAGCTAGATGACATGAATCAGAAAGAATGAAAAACTCATCAAGATATAACATACACGACAACAAGGTAATACACACTAGAATACCTGTTAAATTAAACTGGATGACATGAATCAGAAGGAATGAAAAACTCACCCAATTAACATACAGGACAACAAGGTAACACACACTAGACTACATACCTGTAAATTATACTAGATAACATGAACCTGTAAATTATGTTGTCCAGTATAATTAACTAGAGAAAAGGCTTAGACATGGCAGACATGCCGTAAAATTTACTGGAGTCATACAAAACTCAACTCTATTATAATAACTATCCAGTTATAACATACTGGAATACTATCATTCACAGAATAAATTGGACGATTTTCTATTTTAGATTAGAAAGCACTAATGACAAGCAATGCTTGGTTTCACAGGTGCTCAAGGATAGGGCCAAGTGTCACTCGCGAAAGCACGATATTTTCTGTGTGATCTAGCCTATGTTACGCAATCATCAAATTTTAAACACATTAATATGGAATCTTAGTTAATGTTATGCCCCCAAGTCGCACAAAGCTTTGACAATGCAGAAAATTTTAATAATATCAAAAAAACATGAAAATTAGAAGATTTAATTTAGCAATGATAAAGGAAGGGATTTCTGGTATTGAAACGTAATGCTATATATTGAAAAAAAAATATTTATATTTTTTCTGACATATTAATGTATTTTTTTATGTAGCATCTGGTTTTGTTGATGTTGGAAATCCAGATGATGAAACATGGTTGGAAATGTGTGATTTAGAGACTCATAAATTAACAGCTGAGCTTTGTAAGCAAACAAGAAATGAAGATATTCCAGCTTCAGATGTTGATAAAAAATCATCATCTATGATGATTCCAGATCATGAAATTGAGATGACTGACACTCAAATTGATTGTCAGATTCATAAAATAACTTCTGAGTTTGTTAATGAGTCATAGGTGTTCTTCCTATAAAAATAACTATTTCAAAAGGTTCTACACATGAAGAGCTACCACTTCTTCCTTGTCAATCATTCCAAGTTTTGAAGTTTCGAAGCTATGAGATTTTGGACAACTCTCCTGGAGAAGATGCAACAAAAATGAAAAACACTCTTGTACCTCGTGTAATTGTGAAAGGTGATAACCCTTTTTAAAATATCAATTACTGAAGAATTCCTCTATCAATTAGAGATGAATTCAAGTAAGTTTGTTGAGACAAAACTTGATCCTAACTAAGAGGTAAATTTACATATATTTAACATATGTTTTGATTGATGTTTCTTTGGAATGATAGTTTGGACTATTCTATTTATATATTTATTAAACTTTTTAGGGAAGAAGGGGTATGAAGAGAAGGATGATATACTGGAGGAAGAGTTTGATCTTGGAGTTGAATTTATAGCTAATAAGACATGGTTTTTTTGACTCATTTATACTGGTATAGGAATCAATGAAACGGTATGTGAACATACATTACTTTTTTTTGTTAGTTTTGTTTTAGAATAAATATGTTTTCTGTATATTCGATTGATATCTATTTTCTTTTTGAAGCATATTGATGTTATATTCTATTACCTCCGGAAGAAAGCAAAATATGAAACATAAGGATGACAAACTACAGACAATTATTTCAGTACTATCATTCAAGAAGTGTACAGTAAATCGAATATGCATGACATAAAGGTACAAAATGAGATTTTTGATTTGAACAAAGAAGTTAAGAGAGTATGTTCTTGGGTTTTACATTCTTGGTAACACCCCCTGGGTTTCCGTGATTATGTCTTATGCCAATCAATGTAAAAGCGGCATGGCATTGGGTGTTGGGTGTTCTATCTTTGCATACTGGGTGCATAACATATATGACTCAATAAGATCCTCAAGACATGATGTTGAGTTCATAAAGCTTTGAACTCATTTGCTGTAATGATACCATTGTTGCTCAACATTACTACATTTTATCAGCAAAGAAGTGACATTACAATGGATTAACCAACATTTTTTGGAAAAAGAGGAGCTAAGTAATCCATTTGCTATTATTTCAGTGGATAACTTGCCTCAACAGGAAAAAGCGTAAGTGTTTGCTATGTTTATCCTGCTTCTTTAATATTACTTCAGCTATTATCGTTTATTGTTTTATCTTATTCTTCTTATTATGTGTTTTATTGTATGTTGTGGTATATATTGTTCTACATTTGCGGAGTATTTCATTGAAGGCAAGGAGTTACCAGATGACAGAACATTTGATCCTACACGTCTTCGATTAAGATATGCAGCCTTACTATACATTTAGGTAAAAAGAAGCAGTTGGAATCTCTTGTTAGTGAAGATGAGTCTACAGGAAGACTAGATAAACCTTCTGTTTCAGAAAGGCGCAAGATTAAGAACAAGAAATAATTTTTTGTTCTTTTCAGTAATTGAGTACATACTTTTTGATTGAAATGCAGATTATTATGCTATATATTATAGATAGAATTAAAGACTATAATATGTTTTGAAATTTTTTTTATGAAGGGATACAAACCTTATATTATAATGAAGGAGTGCAAAATAGTGGAAATTTGGTATCTAGAATAATTAACCGTAATTTACATAATTAATATTTGTGTTAGTAATTAACCGTTAATTACACTGGAGATTTTTAGTGTAAAACCACTATGTCCTGTATTTAGTACTGGATGTCAATACTCCAAATTTCGATGTTAGTATAATTTGAACAATATACTAGAACGAATATAATCCAGTATATTATAATGGAGAGTGGAAAAATAATGAAAATTATGTAATTAGAACAATTTACTGGAATTAATGAATATAATATTTAGTGTCCTGTATATTATATTATGGTTGAGTTTTTGTTTGGTTCCTGTAATTACTACAGGAATTCTACCGTGTTTAAGCTTTGTTATCCAGTATATTATACTGGAAAACTAGCATCTGTATTCTGTATTTAATATTTAGTGTCCTGTATAATTTACTGGAGTTTTATATTGTAAAAACCACTATATCCTGTAATTATTACTGGAAATGAATATTGCTGATTTTTTTATCCTATATTCATCCAATTTTTATTACCTGCTATAGTATATGCTGGAATCGCTACTCATGAAGGAATATAATCCAGTATATTATAAATGGAGAAGTGGAAAATAGTGGAAATTTGGTAATTAGAACAATTTGCTTGAATTAAATAATTTAATTTTTAGGTTTCCTGTTAATTTGCTGGAGTGTTATATTGTAAAACCACTATATCCTGTAATTTACTACTGGAATGGAATAATGCAGATTTTTTTATCCCTATATTCATCCAATTTTTATTACCTTCTATAGTACATGCTGGAATCGCTACTCATGAAGGAATATTAATATGAATATATTAATGAAGAAGTGGAAATAGTGGAAACTTGGTATCCGGAAAATTTGCTGGAATTAAATAATTTAATATTTAGTGTCCTGTATAATTTACTGGAGTTTTATATTGTACAAACACTATATCCTGTAATTGTTACTGGAAATGAATATTGCTCATTTTTTTATCCTATATTCATCTAATTTTTATTACCTCGTATATTATATGCTGGAATCGCTACTCATGGAACGAATATAATCCAGTATATTATAATGGAGAAGTGGAAAATAGTGGAAATTATGTAATTAGAACAATTTACTGAAATTAAATAATTTAATATTTCGTTTCCTGTATATTATACTGGAGTTTTATATTGTAAAACCACTATATCCTGTAATTACTACTGGAATAAAATAATGCAGATTTTTTTATCCTATACTCATCCAATTTTTATTACCTGCTATAGTACATGCTGGAATTGCTACTCATGTAGGAATATAATCTAGTATATTATAATGGAGAAGTGGAAAATAGTTGAAATTTGGTAATTAGAACAATTTGCTGGAATTAAATAATCTAATTTTTAGTTTCCTGTATAATTTGCTGGAGTGTTATATTGTAAAACCACTATATCCTGTAATTACGACATAGTGGTTTTTTTGTAATCAAATCAAGAAGCAAAAAAAAAAAATACACAGTATTAACATTTTGAAAAACAAGAATATTGAATATATATTATTCGGGATTACATCAGCCAATGCAAGTTTATTGTATATATTCAATCATTTTTTTCCTATATTTTCTTGCATAAGGATGAACTACAACAGAATTTGTGCAATTTGTTCTGGTATGCCCATATTTTTTGCAACGACTACATCTTGGTTCCTTCTTGAATTCTGTACCGGAAACATGTCGATTCTTCTGTCTTCTTCCTAGCAGTACTTTGGCATCTGGAGGCTTAGTGATTTCTGATTTAATAGTGTCTGGTATAACCCATGTTGTTGCATCACCTACAGAATTTACTTGCCCTTCATACGTTTTCAACCAAAAGTCCCTTGAAAAATAGGCTGAGCGAAAGGCCGATTTCTTTTGATGTATACTCTCAATTGCAGCAATTGCATGTTCACATGTCATCTCATCTAGCTGAAATTCAGAACAATCACATGTTCTTTTGTCTAGATCAACAATAAATTCCATACCACCTTCTTTGACATTCAATTTGAGTCTATCAATGGGCAATACTCTAAATGTAAAAGCTGGTTGGATTTTTGCTTCCAATGTTGCTTCTGCCCAATTTGATATATCACGGAATATTCCTTCTACAAGTGTCCTTCTTTCATAGAACCAGCTTTGCAATTTTTCTTGTATGAAATCCATCATTGTTAAAATTGGCAATTCTCTTGAACGTCTTAAAACATTATTCATTGACTCAACGATATTTGTTGTTAACATATCATATCTTCTTCTGGGACAATGTGAACGAGCCCACCTTCCTGGCGGTTCCTCCATCAAATAATTGAAAATTTTCTTATCAACAACAGCTATTTGGGACATGAAGTCATCTAATTCTGATTGAAGGTATACTCTTGCAGCACTTTGAAAGAGATTTATCACAGTGTTTCTCACTCTTCTTTGCTTCAGATTCTTTTCTAAATGATAGATGCGAATTCCATGGTAGCACTCAGGGAAAACCTTTGCAATTCCATTTGCAATAGCCTTGTGTCGATCTGACAAGAACATTAAATCATTACGAATCCCAATTGCTTTTCTTAATTCCCTGAAATACCATTCATATGATTCATTATTCTCTTTATCCACTACTCCAAAAGCTATAGGAAAAATCTGGTTATTTGCATCTTTGGTAACACCCACTAATAGAACACCTCTATATTTATTTTTTAGAAATGTTCCATCAACAGCAATCAGTGGTCTACAATACTTCCACCCAGAAATTGACGCCCCATACATAAAAAACATGTAAACAAACCTGTAAAAAGAAAAGTAAATAAAATTTAGTTAACTTACACAGTATAATATACTGGAGATAAAGCTCATGCCACACGTCCTGTAAAATTTACGGGCATCAAACAAAAATTAACTATTTTATAATATTCTTCCAGTATAAAATAGTGGAGTTCCATTAACATCCAGTATAATATACTAGATAAAATAAACTAAAAATACAAAATTTTAGGTTGAACAGAACTCACCCAGTATATTATATAGGACAGAAAGCTTATAAAATACAGATATCCTGTAAAATATACTGGATGACAACCACTAACATCCTGTATAATATACTGTACAAAATCAAATACAATAGATTGAAGAGAAGTCACCCAGTATAATTTACAGGAAAGAAAGCTTTTACAATATACACGTCCTGTAAAATATACCGGAAGACAAACACTAACTTCCTGTTTAATATACTGGACAAAATGAAATAAAATTGAAATACATAACTTAATATTTTGTTTCCTGTATATTAAACTGGAGTTATATACTGTTAAACCACTATGTCCCGTATTTAATAATGGACATAAAAAATCACTCAAAAAAAGTAATAAATAAAAAGAACTCATCCAGTATAATTTACAGGAAAGAAAGCTTATACAATACACACATCCTGTAAAATATACTGGACGACAACCACTAACATCCTGTATAATATACTGGACAAAATAAAATACAATAGATTGAACAGAACTCACCCAGTATAATTTACAGGAAAGAAAGCTTATCATAAATAAGAAATTTACCTGTTTTCTTCATCTCTCACAATATTTGTATATGATCCTGGATTTTTTTGTTCCATCATATACAAATATGATGGCAGCTGCTCATACTTGTGTTCAGTTGTTCCTCTTAACAAAGATAACCCCTTTTGAATAGCATGCCATGCTTTTCCATAACCAACATCAATTCCATGTGCTCTTTTCATCTCTGAAATGACAAACTTAGGTTTTACCTCAGTAGCTATGTCTCTTAAGTTGTCAATCACGTAATCTCTAATCACATTTGAAGTTGCTTGCCTTTGATCTGATTTTCGAATATCAACTGAGCACTCATGTGTTCTCTGAAATTTAACTATTTTAAAAAGTGTTGATTCCTTAATTCTTGAACCTCGAACAGTCCAAGTACACTTTTCATCAGTACATACCAAAGAGTATCTCGTGTTACTTGACTTGTTAACATAGAACTCAAAATGCTCCTTTATAGCTGCTAAGCAAAAATATCTAATCATGGCATTTTTATCTTGAAAAACAGAACCAAGTTTTACATCATCCAGTGATGCATTTTCCTTTAATATTATTGATGGAGATTCTTTTGCCTTTCCTTTTCCTTTCCTTTTTCTTCCTTCAATACTTTGTAGTGATTCAATGTGCTGATCTTCCACAGGAGTTACAATTTCTTTTTCCATTGTAATATTATAAATTGGATTCTCCTGCTCTTCTTCAACTTGAGATATCAGCAACACTTGCTCTTCCGGACCATATGTGTTTCTGTGCAATAACTGTTGATTATCAATTTCCATTATTGCATTACCTTCTAGTTGTTCATCTGGTTTTTCTGATATTTCAACAACAAATTTCGAATCTTTATAGTATGGATCATTTTTTAAAAGAATCATACACATAATAAGATCTTCATCTTTTGTCACTTCTATTCCCTTAGAAGTACCTAGGTTGATATTAAGCCATACATTTGCTTGAAACTTTTTGTTGTCAAGCTCTATAATTTCAAAAAATTTTATAAGGAATTCTTCAAATGAAGTCCCATCATTTATCAGGAGGAGCTTCGTTTTATGATCCAAGTACTTGTAATCTGCTGTCCATTTGCCATCGAACGCAATAATCAAGAAATTTGTATGCATCCTGTATTTAATGAACCCAAATGATTAGATATCTAGAAATTATACTGTTTAAAAATATAATATTCATCCAGTATAATATACTGGAGAATAAGCTTACATACAGGTGATGTCCCGTAAAATATACTGGATTAAAACAAAACTCAATTATATTCTAGTCTTAGAACTTATCCAGTATAACATACTGGAGAAAAAGCTTAGACACAGGCCATGTCCCGTAAAATATACAGGATTAAAACAAAACTCAATTATAATCTAGTCTGAAAACAGAATTCGTCCAGTATAACATACTGGAGAAAAACATTACACACAGATGACGTACTTTAAATTATTCTGGATTGAAATAAAACTCAACTATATTATAACATAATATCTACATTAACGAAACATACTTCAAGTGAATTACAATGCATTTTTTATGAGATTTCCAATATAATAAGCTGGAAACGTCCAGTAAATTATATTCTAGTCTAAATAGAACTCAACTATATTCTACTCTAAATAGAACTCGTCCAGTATAACATACTGGAGAAAATTTTAAACACAGGTGATTTCCTGTAAAATATACTGGATTGATATAGAACTCAATTATATTCTAGTTTATGCAGAACTTACCCAGTATAACATACTGGAGAATAAGCTAACACACATGTAATGTCCCGTAAAATATACTGGATTCAAACAAAACTCAATTATATTCTAGTCTTAGAACTTATCCAGTATAACATAAAAAATATTACACACAGGTGACGTCCCGTAAAATATTCTGGATTCAAACAAAATTCAATTACATTCTAGTCTTATAACTTATCCAGTATAACTTATTGGAGAATAAGCTTATACACAGGTTATGTCTCGTAAAATATACTGGATTCTATCAAAACTCAATTATATTCTAGTCTTAGAAATTATCCAGTATAACATACTGGAGAATAAGCTTACACACATGAGATGTCCCGTGAAATATACTGGATTAAAACAAAACTCAATTATATTCTTGTCTTAGAACTTATTCAGTTTAACGTACTGGAGAATAAGCTTACATACAGGTGATGTCCCGTAAAATATTCTGGATTCAAACAAAACTCAATTATATTCTAGTGTAAGAACTTATCCAGTATAACATATTGGAGGAAAAGCTTACACACACGTGATGTCCCGTAAAATATACTGGATTCAAACAAAACTCAATTATATTATAACATAATATCTACATTAACGAAACATACTTCAAGTGAATTATAATGCTTTTTTTATGAGATTTCCAGTATAATAAGCTGGAAAAATCTTCGCTTTAGATATTAATTTAGAAACGTCCAACAAATTATACTGGCGCTATGTTCTACATTGAGAAAATTAGACAATAACACAGATTAAAGCATTAAAAACAAATCAAAAATTCGAAAGATTAAATTTTTTTACTGATACTTTGAATTTTATGGTTTGAATTCTTGATCGTAGAAGAAATTAAATAATCAGACAAATTTTAGATAGAACTTACTTCAATTTGCTGATTGACGACGGAAATTTTGCTAAAACTTCTGATTTGCAGATTGACGCAGAACGATTTTGCTAACACTTCGATTTGCAAATTAACGCCGGAAGATTTTGCGAATGCCTCGATTAACGCCGAAAGATTTTGCTAATATATCGATTTACAGATTGACGGCGAAAATTTTCCTAATAACTCGATTTGAAAATTAATGCCGGAAGATTTTGTTAAGTTTTGCTAAAAGAAGAATTTAAGGTGAAGTCGCGTAAATTAATAAAAAAAAAAGCAGGGGTATTTTAGTCAACAAAATATTACCGCACTAAATTAGTGGCTAAATATCGTTGACCGGTGATTATGTGGCTACATTTGATTGACCAGGCGAAAAACTGGCCATTTTTGAATTTTATGGAAGCCTTTGTCCGTTTTAGTCTTTCTGTACAAACTCTAGTTTTGGGCCTCTTTAATGTGAGCCCAGATGTGGGCCAAACACTAATATCTTGAAAGAGTATTTGGACATTCAATTAAATTGATTGGGCTTTTAAGGTGTTATTTTTCCACGTTGTTGGTTGTATGAACAGTTTTACTTTGTGATTGAAATTGTTTCTTGTATATATAACACATGCAAATAAAGTCGAGTCTGGGAACCTCGTGGGTCCAGCTCAGTTTACTCCGCAAAAATTGCAAATGATGGGGTTAATTAATGAATTACTAGCAGTTGAGCGTAGTCCTGTAGATTTCAAGAAAAATTGAGGCGTGCCATCCACAAATGAATTCCATAATCTATGGCCCTCATATTAATATCAAAACTAGTGTGGAAAATACTTTGAACATTCGTAACTAGTGTAGAAAATACTTTGAACATTCGTAATTTGCTTTAGGCGCGTTTATAATAAATCATCATGACTAAGGGTACGGTTCCCGTGACGTAGTTATGATACGTAATCCCCAAATTTCGAGTGCACATTTCATGTGACTCGACTACAACTTCGAACCATTAATAAAAATACACATGTTGTAAATTGTCGGTACGGTTCCCGTGACACGATTCGCAATATGTACAAAAAACAAACAAGTGTACGACTCATAACTTGTTCCAGAAATAATTTCATAAATAATTAAAAGCGGTTATAAAGTTAAAAATACACACTAGGTTTAAAACATGTAATAAATCAGATAATTAGGCCAATTATTAATAGTTAAGCGACCATGCTAGAACCAGGGAACCCGAGAATGCCTAATACCTTCTCCTGGGTTAACAGAATTCCTTACCTAAAATTTCTAGTTTCGCAGACTTTTTAAATAAAGTCAATTTTCCTCGATTTGTGATTTAAAATAAACCGGTGACTTGGGACACCAAATAAATTATTCCAAGTGGCGACTCTGAAATAAATAAATTATCCCATATCATTTTATGTCAATTAAATTGGAAAAACTCCCTTATATCCGCCCTTCGGGTAAAAATGAGCTGTCACAATTTGTCTTGATATCTATAGCACTACGCTTAACTGCTAGTAATTCATTAATTAACCCCATTATTTGCAATTTTTGCGGAGTAAACTGAGCTGGACCCATGAGGCTCCCAGGCTCAACTTTATTTGCATGTGTTATATTGTCACGACCCTAGTTCACCAACCGTGAACATGTCATGACGGCACCTGGTCCCCATGACCAGGTAAGCCTAACATTTGCGGAAATATAATAATTGCGAAAAAATATAGAAAATCAAATCAAATATCTAAAGGAAACTGTACTGAATTTTGCTTGGCAAGTACAATTCAATATCACAAGTCTAAAACAATTCCCAAAACCCGGAAACTCACGGGCAACACAGGCTACAGAAGTGTATAGTAAAGGTTCCAAACTTCAGAATTTCTAACAACCGAAAGAAGGAAAACTAAGTACTAAAGATAGAGTAAGAGGGAGACTCGTCGGTCTGCGGACGCAGCAGATCTACCTCGAAGTCTCCGTAGCCCTCCTGCCTCACTGATAGTGCGCCTGAGTGGAGGTACCTGAATGATCTGCACATGAAAAGCATGCGCAGGAAGGGCATGAGTACACCACAACGGTACTCAGTAAGTGCCAAGCCTAACCTCGGTTGGGTAGTGACGAGGAAGGTCAGGGCCCTACTGAGACAAAGTATAATAATAACAATAATTTAATAGTATAAAATCTGACAGATATAATAAGTACAGCAGTGAGATAAGACAAGCCAACGAGGCTATAACAACTACACGAGTACAGAATAAACACAGAGTAAACACAGCTCAATACCAATGATAACAGTGAGGGTCTCCCAGGATACCGCCCTGTAGCCCCTTTTTTCTCAATTGTCCAGTGGATCTCCCGGGATACCGTCCCGTAGTCCATCATATGTGTACATCCGAAGGATCTCCCGGGATACCGTCCCGTAGTCCAACCATCAATGTGCAGGGGGATCTATCGGAATCGAACACGTAGTCCCAAAGTAAAAGTGCAGGGGGATGTATAGGGAATCTAACCCGCAGTCCCAAAGTAAAAGTGCAGGGGGGATCTATCGGGAATCGAACCCGCAGTCCCAAAGTAAACAAACAAAGGGGGGAGGGGAGGTACCGGAATCCCACATCCGTAGTCCCAATGTAAATGCGCAATCACAACCAGAAGGTACACGGAAACGAAGTACAAAAGACAAGCAACTGGTAGTACTGCTTAGCATGCTTCACGTAGTACAGTCAAGGCAACTTAAGCAATTAGGCAAGGTCCCCCACACAAGGTTAGACAAGTCACTTACCTCGAACCGGCTCAATATCAATAGAAACCACGCCTTTGCCACGAGTATCCAACTCCAAATGGCCCAAATCTATTCAATTCAATTACATATCGTAAATAATATTGCAAAGAACTGATTCTGCTAATAAATTTACAGCTAGGGCGCAAAAATAGGTAAAATGACCAAAACACCCCTCATGCCAACATCTCGGAATCGAATAATTTTTACATATTCATAACCCTCGTACTCTCACGAGTCTAACCATATAAAAATCTCCCAAATCGGAGGTCAATTGCCCACTCAAAACTCAATAATTAGGTCTATGAAGTTTCTTCCAATTTTCCCCAATTTTGACCTTGAATTCGAATTCTAATGGTGGATTTAACTATATATTGATGGAATACAACTAAATAGGGTCAAGAAAACATTACCCAGTGATTTTCTCTTCAAAATCCACCCAAAATCGCCTTCTCCCGAGCTCCCAATTGTTTTTTCTAACTTTTGAATTAACCCTCGAATTATCCCCTTTTCAGAACAGTCATTTCCGCTTCTGCGGACCACGAGCTGCTTCTGCGGTTTTTTCACTTAAGACCAGACTCCGCTTCTGCGGTACAAATCCCGCTTCTGCAGTCCCTCTTATGCGGAGGAAGGGACCGCTTCTGCGGTTCCTGCGGAGATGCCTGGAATCGCTTCTGCGATGAAGAAGCCGCTTCTGCGGTTCCCAAGCCGCAGAAGCGGAAATACCAGAAGACTCAAAATCTGCTG